GAGTAACCTGGTGTAGCGGTGTGTGGTAAACATCGCCACTCGAGGAGACAAAGGCGGCCGGGGGTGGTCGTGCTGGCCACCCACCCCCTCGTGTGCCGTGCCGGCCTTCACAGGTGGTGCTGCTACTCGCTAACAGCACTTGCCCCTACAGTCTGTTACAGGCTACACGGGGAGGGGGGGCATCTTTGTCTTTGTGTGGGAGAGTTAAAACCCCCACAACAACACTTTCGATGATTTATTTCGGTGAAGTCACGTAGATAGAAAAAATAATCAATAAAATCTTTTAAAAAAACAATGAAAAAAAAGTCGATAAAAATTTCACGACGTTTCGATCGCAACATAAGCGGCCGTCATCATGGGAATGTCGTTTTGTTTATGGGATGAAACAAAGAACTATTAATTAGTGACCCAACCTCAGACCGAGAGTGAAATATTGCATAGAAAACATGGGGAACATAGACATGGAGTAGGGAGAGAGAGGGGGTAGAGAGAGAGAGGGTAGAGAGAAAGGGGGTAGAGAGAGAGGGGGGTAGAGAGAGGGGGGTATAGAGAGGGGGTAAAGAGAGAGGAGGTAGAGAGGGGGTAGAGAGAGAGGGGGGTAGAGAGAGGGGGTAGAGAGAGTGGGTAGAGAGAGAGGGGGGGTAGTGAGAGAGGGGGTAGAGAGAGAGGGGATAGAGAGAGAGGGGGGTAGAGAGGGGGTAGAGAGAGGGGGTAGAGAGAGAGGGGGGTAGAGAGAGAGGGGGTAGAGAGAGAGGGGATAGAGAGAGAGGGGGTCGAGAGAGAGGGGATAGAGAGAGAGGGAGTAGAGAGAGAGGGGGTAGAGAAAGAGGGGTAGAGAGAGAGGGGGGTAGAGAGAGAGGGGGTAGAGAAAGGGGGGGTAGAGAAAGAGGGGGGTAGAGAGAGAGGGGGTAGAGAAAGAGGGGTAGAGAAAGAGGGGTAGAGAGAGAGAGGGGTGTAGAGAGAGAGGGGGTAGAGAAAGAGGGGGTAGAGAAAGAGGGGGTAGAGAGAGAGGGGGTAGAGAGAGAGGGGGCCGAGAGAGAGGGGGTAGAGAAAGAGGGGGTAGAGAGAGAGGGGGGGTAGAGAGAGAGGGGGTAGAGAGAGAGGGGGTAGAGAGAGAGAGAGGGTACAGAGAGAGGGGGTAGAGAGAGAGAGAGGGGGTAGAGAGAGAGAGGGAGTAGAGAGAGGGGGTAGAGAGAGGGGGTAGAGAGAGAGAGAGGGGGTAGAGAGAGAGAGGGGGTAGAGAGAGAGGGGGTAGAGAGAGAGAGGGGGGTAAGAGAGAGAGAGGGGGTAGAAAGAGAGGGGGGTAGATATATGGGGCAGAGAGAGATGGGGTAGAGAGAGATGGGGTAGAGAGAGAGAGGGGGGTAGAGAGAGAGGGTAGAGAGAGAGGGGTAGAGAGAGAGGGTAGAGAGAGAGAGGGTAGAGAGAGAGGGGGTAGAGAGAGAGGGGGTAGGGGGAGGTTTACACAAAGCAAAGCATTGAAAACTAAAACCGAAATGACGAACGAAGCAACGTGCCGACTACACCGAGCATCTTTCTGATTTCCTCTGATCGTAAAATAACCGAGAGAGAGAGAGAGACACACACACACAGTGGGGATTGTCATACAGAGCGAGATGGACACACAGAGGGTGCTTAAAAAAAAATAAAAGCCTTCCACTTACATGGCCACTATCGTATCAAAATGGGAACAACAAAATTAAACCACGGCTACTGCTGCACCTTAACGTGATTGACGAACGTCATGTCAACAGCTTGAGCGAGCCGAGGAGCCTACTACCCACTTGTGCTGCAGGTGAAAAGCAGTGTGCTGTTAGCTGGCTGCTGTATCACTGCTGTCCGCCAGAGGGCGATAACGCAGCGCCCATTGGTTAACACCGCAGCCGCTTGAACAGCCTCCACCCCTCACCCCCTCACCCCCCCCCCCCCCCCCCCCCCCCCCCCCCCAACCACCCCCACCATCATGTTTGCGAGCACCTATTAAGTGCCTCCTCTAACGCGGTCAATGCGTGCATAGGGGGGGGGGCCGTCCGTCCATAAATGACGTCACGCGATTTTGGAAGATTTTTTGACCCCTCTCCCCCTACCCCTAGTCACGCGGCGTCACAAAAAGTGAGACCCCCCCCCCCCCCACCTCAAATATGACGTCACGAAAAGTGAGACCCCCCCCCATCATCAAATATGACGTCACAAAGCTTTGCCCCACCCCCCCACCCAAAAACATATTTCCATTTTGAAAATTTAAACGTGCTTAAAATTGCTTTAAACTATTGTCACATTCTAGTGCGTATTTAACGTGGCGCTGCACTCTGACGCTGTAGGAGAAAACATTTATTAAAAACTTCCATTGAATTAAGCGGAACGTGTTGTGTCTATATTTATTTAAAGTTTGGCGCGTTTTTACGTGACGTCACATTTCTCAAACCCCTCCCCCCCCCTCCCCTCGTCACACATCGTCACAAATGTCTGACCCCCTCCTCCCCCTCCTAGGTGCGTGACGTCATTTATGGACGTCCCCGAGGTGCTGCTACGTCACTCAGGCTGCCACGGGGCATCTTCGTCTTTGGGTGTCTGTGCGAAGGAGCGGTGGGAGCGATGGTTAGCGCAAGCCGCCCGCCTGAGTTCGACTCCCGTTGGGACTGTGCTCCGTTGAGCCACGCGGACACTCACACACACAGAAGGCACAATGAAGCGGAGCACACACACACACACACTCTTACACACTCTTACACACACTCTTACACACACACACTTACACACACACACTCTTACACACACTCTTACAACAACAACCGCCATTCGCCACTAAGTGGCGGTGACGTCACCACGACGCTTGTGCCAGGCTATGTGCACCCTGAGGCCACGTGAAGTGTCGAACGCCCGCTGGCAGGAGGTCACGGGGCAGACCCAGGTGCCACGGGTCGACTGACTGAGATGACTGGCTGATGCACCACCTGTGCCCCCTACTGTGCCAACCTGCTGTGCTTTAGCCACCCGGCGCTCCGCTCGCTGTTGTGAGCG